TACAATGAACACTTATCTATATTCTTAAAAAAACCTCGATAATCTTGAAGTTCAAATAATAAGTACCGTAATGATAATATTGCAGATATTTGTTAATATCTTTACATATTCTTTATGGAAGGAAAGATACTGAAAAGAAAGAAACGAAAGTCGTTCTCTATTTCTCTATTTCTCATTTTCTCAAAGTTCAAGGTAACCACTAAGCACACCAAGCGGACCAATATTTTCCTGCATAGTGATAAAAAGATAAAAGTTTCAATTATAACCTTCTTCGCTGACTTCACTCCTTGCTCTATTCGGAAAGATCGATTTCGTAAGAAATGATTAACACAAAATACGAAGGAATAATCACTTAGTAGGCTAATGATCAGTCTTCAAAGCAAAGTTTACTTTTGTCTAGTTTACAAAGAAAATACGTAAGAAGAAGTTCTTGCACGTGCGAAAGTTTCATAAGACATCATAGCACAACTGAGATCAACCAGCCGTTCGCGCCAATTCTTGAAACGGTTCATTGGCACGAAGGATCGAGAGAAATCTCATTTCTCGATCTCGCGAGCATCGTTTTCGAGGGCACGCGTTTGCCGTCTCACGCAAACGCATCAAGATGTTCTCGAGAGTTATCGAGATAAATAAATCTTTGTTAGAGATTTCTTAAAATTTTCCTTAAAGATTATTTACATTGTTATTAACACCAATTAAAAAAATATTTAATACAATGAACAAATTCCTATTATCTCTCTTAAGAGTTCTATTGTCTCGAGACTGTCCAAAATAAGGAGTAGAAGGAAGAAAATCCTTTTACGAGTTGGAGAAGCGATCGGCAGATATTAAATCATTATAGCATAGAGTTCTTTATTTGAACTTACCAATGCGTGGGCGAAGTATCGCGTCTCAAAAAAATCCTGACCTATACGACACAGACTCGGCAAGATCCTTCGTGCAATAAACACTCGGACGTGAAGGTTCGACTTTACTTTAACGGCATGCCCTTGTGCTATGAGTACGTTCTACAGGTACTCCTTTATAGCTAAATAATTTATCGCTTCCCCCTCCGTTCCTACGGCGAAACAATAGCCATGCCGAGGAGTTGTGTTCTTCAACGTGCCTGTTACGCGATCCTCTACCTAAGTCGGCCCTTCAAGAAAATCCTACGAAAATAATGTTAAAATATCGTCCCTTTCTATATTCGCGAAAACTATTAGAAATTTATATAATACGAAATACATACGTCATATAAACGACCATTTTTCTGTAACTTTCACTTTAATATTATAATATATAATTATAATAATAGCCTATTTTACAAAGAAATAAAATAAAAAAATCGTTAAGAGACAGATCGTTTAGTGACAAGGAAGAAGTATCATAATTACCGCCTTTTTGAATGCACATAAGTAAATTACGAGTAAAAGAGTTAATGAGATTTGGATATGTCAAATTCTTTGATGAATTAATTTGAGAAAATTTAATATATTCGACGATTCGTTTTCTAATTCTCTTAAACTAACATTGAAAGACATACGATAGGATTATTGTAGAATATCTAGCAACCATATTAGGTAACGACGATACTATGTGTTACTTTCGCAGGTTGTCGTTGGTAATCGTGAAGAATAATCGACGTCTGACATTTGATAAGCGTGTCTGTCTGGTAATCGAAGGAAATAAATATAATTACGTAATAGACCATAGTAGCTCATGATAAAGCTTCGCGTACAGCTTCCAATAAAATTGAAATGAAAGTAGGACTAATATATCTAATTTTGATAATAACAACAATAATAATTTTTAACAACAATAACAATCGTTATTGTTACGAGTAACAATCTTTCTCAATCGTATGAGTACGTTAAAACTCTTAAGTACGATGTAATATTGTTACTATTACATATTGTATTACACGATTCTATTACACATTGTTTCAAGGACAATTAATCGTTTCAGTAAAAGTTATGATTTCAGAAATACTCGAAACTCGTTCTCCACATGTAAAAAATAACAATAGTGCAATAAGTGAACAAATGAATGTTACATAAGTAATATTATATTCTGTAATAATTAGTGTCATGAAAGAACAACGACTTAGCATAAGAATTCACGAAAGTTGCATTTTCAAGAGACGATCACAAAGTTCCTTTCAAAGCAAGAACCAAGAGAGAAGTCAAAGAAGCGATATCGGCGCATTGCCCGCGGTAAATTCTTTCTCGTAATTGCAAAGAGGCGAACCCTATGGAGCCGGACACCGATGTATAACACAACCAAGAGAATATAATAGGCAAGAGTACTCGGACCCCTCCTTACGGCTTATGTACGCTGTTGTAAATTCTCCTCGTAATTGCCAAGGAAGAAAGAGAGAGAGAGAGAGAGAGAGAGAGAGAGAGAGAGAGAAAGAGAGAAAGAAAAGAAAAAGAGAGAGAAAGAGAGAAAGAAAAGAAAAAGAGAGAGAAAGAGAGAGAGAAAAAGGAAAGAAAAAGAGAAAGAGAGAGAAAGAGAAAAGGATACAGTGTGGGTGCCGATGGGATCCTGGAAGAAGGACACCGACGTTTGTTCGAGCTCCATGCAAACTTCTACTTTGCATGTAGATCGGAAAAGTAACGTATTTCTATGTTTTCTTGCCTTCTCAAGTAATATCAAAAAATGGTATCTCTTTATCTCTCGCTTTTTATCTCTTTTTGTGGATTACCGTCCTATCTCGTCTCGTTAAAAGAATATCTTTATTTTATGAATACACGGATAATAACGATAAGCAGGCGATATATCGATCCTTGAAAAATGTAGAGAAGCAAGCCCTTGATCTTGCCTCTAGCTAAAATTTGCCATCCTTATCTGAGGATATTCTTGATGCCGCGTGCCAAGAGCTCACGATCCGTTCCGAGCGCACGTTCCGCTTGAAAGGATACATTATCCTGACGGATAAATTACAAGACGTAAATTTTAGCACGACTGTAAATTATCCGCGATAGCCGCGAACGATACCACTCACTACTATATGTATATGCACGTTCCCACCTACGCTCGAAACCAAATCGGGCTCTATAATTCTGGCTTGAGGATTTTCCTTGTTCATGAAGGGATTTTATAGAAACCTAAGGTGTAAAACTTGTAATCGAATATTCTAATTGCTTTTATGAAATATTTCTAACAAATAGAACAATCAGAAAACATAGAAACATTTTCTATCAATATTTAGCTATTTTACATATAATACAATTATAAATGTTACGACGTACTTTCCATATGGTATTAATATCCGTTTGTTTATTTTTATTTTCAATAGAAATATTTTTATTTTCTATCAATATTTAGCTATTTTACATATAATACAATTATAAATGTTACGACGTACTTTCCATATGGTATTAATATCCGTTTGTTTATTTTTATTTTCAATAGAAATATTTTTATTTTCTATCAATATTTAGCTATTTTACATATAATACAATTATAAATGTTACGACGTACTTTCCATATGGTATTAATATCCGTTTGTTTATTTTTATTTTCAATAGACGTATTCATATAAGCGATTCGGATGTATCCTGTCGTCTTTCGATATTACTCGATCTCATCTCTCTTAATTAGAATTAGAGGGTTAAACCGGTGATTCTCATTATCCTTCCTCCCATTCTCTTAACTAATTCGCATCAATCCCAAGATCTTTGATCGTCGTTGATCAACAACAAAAAATAGGAAGAAATTCTCGATTTCATTCTGAACGACAGCTCGATTACATAGTCGGACAACGTTCTTTGGATTACCTCCGGCCGTGGATATTTCGTAAAAGCAACGTTTCCACATCAAACTCATCTAGCGTGTTACCGAAATGTGGTACAACATAGCCGTTAACATTTCCCTTTGTCTTAATCGTAAAGCGAGGCGAAACTTATCCCCTCCCCCTTTCTCTCGCGACCAAGCTGATTCGCTTCGATACCATTCAAGGTGTTTCGATTGTATTATACTCGCGCTTAGGCAACCCCTTGGAAGAAAGATCGTCTCGACTCGGCTCGATTTTAACGTCGCAATCGAGACGCCTTATAGACTCTAGCTACTATTTAAACTGCAAAATGAGAACGATCTTTACGAATGTTTCCTAATATCCTAACAAATAAAAGAGAGAAATAAAGAGATTGATTTGTTTGATAAATGATTTGCCAACGTTTCAAAGATACGAAAGAATTTAAATCGATGAATAAAAATAAAAATGTGAAAAAACGAAGGAAGAAAATCTCCAAGCTCTTTGCTCAAGATGGCAAGATAAACGAAAAAATTTATCTCACACAAGGCGCAAAGTCCACCCTCGGGCTTACCCTCGGGGATCGGAGCTCGCTTTGCCATGCTTGATTTCCGCGTGTGCCAGATAACCAACCGTGCAGTCATTACGTAAACTGACATTTTCGCGTGTAAAGCGTGAGCCAGTGAAAGATCGGATCGACCAGTATAGCGTTAGCTATAGTATAATGGTTCTTTACAGGGTAGTAGTCAGTCACTAGACTACTACGTGCTTTCTCAATTGCTATCCTTTCGAGTTCACCGCCTTGAATTTTTTAATCATCATACAAACGACGTCTCCTTTTTAAATGAACTTCCTTTTCGTTTCAAATAATTTCCTTCATTATCTTACGTATATTCACCGTTTATTTATCATTATTATAAACCGTTCTCTTTTTTATTTGCAAATTACGAGAAGAGGAATCGGAGAACGTGCGAACATTCACTGTTCTATTAACGTCCTTCAAACACGATTTACCTACCACGGATTTAACGTACCGTTAAACGAAACGGCTGAGAGTAAGTTGCTTAGAAAAAATGTTAGATCTTTACTTTCTTTACAAGATCACAAATTGGATAGTATTTATCTAAAAAAATAAATTAATCGAGTAAGATTAGATAAAGTAGCATAAAATAAACTAAAGAAAAAATTCAAAACGAATCGAATGGAAATTATTCTCTACAAATCGATCGTACTACCCTCGTAAATGAAAATATCGATCATAACTTACCCACTCTCGAAAATACGGCCAGGAACAGCAAAAGACCACTGAAGAATATCATCTTCCCGTATCTTGTTTTTTATCGTAAATCAAAATTTTTTATATTTTTCTCAACGCGAACGGTGAATAGAGAAAATTTAAATATCACGGCTATGTGTAAAAGCCGCCCTTCTTTATCGTAATGGCGCACGAGCGCATACACACGCGAAGAGATACAGACGTCCGATTGTATTAAATAGATTTTCTCCTTTGAGCACGAATTACCAAACAATGTAGAAAAAGAAAAAGAAAATTGATAGAAAGTAAAGAAGAACAAAAAACGGAAAGAAACAAAAGAAACAAAATGAAAAAGATAATTTGAAAATCAAGAAGAAAATCAAATCGATTGTACGTGACGCTCTTGCGGGTTCTAAAATTCGAGCAGGAAAATAAACACAAACTCGAAACGCTTTTTCCGTCGGAAAGAAAAGAAAAACTCCTTTCGAGGGAGGAGTCAACGTAAGCGAAGCTTACGAGACCGATGGAGCAGCGTTAATGATAGCGCCGTTTTCAAAGCCGCGAGAGCGCCATCGACGGTCGCAAAACATATGCTACGGTCACGAAGAGAGAAAGGTGACTGGGTATACGCGAGGCGTGCTCGATACCTCCTGTCTTCTTGGCATAGTCACCTTTCTAGCAAAGCAGTAAGAAAGAAGGGAGTATTGGAGCCCATATCGGGGGTCTCTCTCAACATCATGGTCCCACAAGAGAACCACTTCTCCACTCACCTCTTCAAAAACTTTTTATCCAACCCCGAAACGACCTTGCTTGACAAGAAAATTATCTTCGCAATTCTTAAATTATAAAAAAAAAAAGAACAAGGAAAGATCTTGTGCGAAAAATAAAATATATCCGGCTTGAACAACTTTCACGAATCCTACTGTTTCTTCCTTTGATATATTTTCTTCTTTCTTTAACTTTTTGTTTTTTTTTCTTTTTCTATTACTTTTTGTCAAATATTATCAACTAGGAAAAAGATGCGCGTATTCCATGTAAAAAAAGTTTATTTCTTTCAACCATATAAAAGCACTAATATTATTTTACGGGTAACAGTTTACATAGAAAATTCTACTTAAAGAAATCAAGTTGTATCTCGATATATTACGCGATAATCATGAACACATCGTGTATAAATCCGATTCCTTTCTAGCAAACTATACAAAATCTCCAATAATGTATCTTTGCTCTTTTATTCATTGCGTCACAGAATTTTGTGTTTCTTCGTCCTCAGTGATTGAATCGGGTGTAAACGACTAGACATGATTGCAAACATTTTTACCAAATATCTTTCTCGGAATTGTCGAGTAAATTTCTTTTCTTTTTTTCTCTTCTTGTGTGTTATACTTTTAAATATAATTACAAATATACGATTAAACGTAAAACGACGATGAGCGCACATTGAAAAGTTTTGTAAGAGTATCGTAGAAACCAGCTCGATATATATTTCTCGTTATTATTTATCAAATACAATCTTTTAAATAACAAACTCGTGTATAAAAGGAGAAAAAAGTAATTTTCTTTTTTCGTTAGTATAAAAACAAAACAAACCAAATTCTGTAGCGATTCTTTGATTATTATTTGATTAATGATAAGTTCAATACTTTTACATGTCAAGTATCGTTAGTGTTTCAAAGATTCACGAGATACTCATGAAACTGCATCAGTTCCCACGGCCTTATATTGTTCCAATAATACTTAACTGCAAGTATAAATGGATAAAGATTCGCAATGTAGACAAAATTGATAGATCAAGGAATCGTTACAGAATATTCCTCTTTTTTACCTCTTTTTTTTCTTTTATCTTTTCTTTTCAAGATAAAGCTTGTTCATCGATCTAAACTTAATCGAGTATTTCCATTGATCTCCAAAAAATGGTTTTTTTAAAAATCAAAATATTAAACAGATCGCTTGTTTATTAATTATTACGATACGACTTATATGTATGTACATAAACATAATGCAATATCGCATTAGCACGAGATATCAACCAGATCAAATACTAATGGTATCTTTAAAAAAAATTTCTTCCTTAAAAAAGAAAAAAAAGAAGCACAAGGTAACGTTATTCATTCTAAAAGGAATGAAATATCATTTGATTTTCTGCCCAATAACATTGATATAACATAAAGACTTACAATGATCTGTAAATTTTCTCTGTATGCTCATGAATAATTTTTATTTGCAACATCAGGAAAGAACAAAGACTAAAGATCGATCGATCAAAGACCTGTTTTGCATAAATGTTATTGAAAACATTACGCGATTGATTCCTGGTTGCAGTCTACTCTCGACGCATATTATAAGAATGAAATAATTACATAATTGATCGAATCTCTTATATAACTCTAATTACTAACTAATTCAATTTGTCTATACTTCTTACGCATGTTGCTTACAGAATCTTTGAATAGGACCGGATCGAGTCTCATGTTGGATCGTAATAATGGCATATATCCAAAAACAGCTACGAATGTATTCATGCATGTTTGTCGCTGTATAAAATGATCAGGATCGTTCCACGGTGATCTGATTTAAAAAAGAAAATTAATTCAATCCAACTTATTTTATGACAAAATAGATGTACATATATAATTAGATATAGATATACTTTTGCTAATAGCAAATATACATATATAAATGTATACTTACCTGATTCCAGCAACCGTGGTATCTTTATACAGTTTCCGTTGAGTTACTTTGATAGGTGGTCTTCGAGTAACGTGACTCACTAAGAAATTCATTAAAATATCTTCGCAATTCTGCGACTGTTCCACTGTCTTATGAAGAGTCGAACTTAATAGTTCAGTATACAATGTGTTATAATAACGATGATAAAAAGCAGCACCGGTTAGAATGATACTGTAATCGTTAGTCCATTTACTCGTGTAACCCCAAGATCGCTTAATATGTAATCAGATACGTATTAGTAAAAAAACGTTATAAATAGGATAACACAAAAAATAATTTTAAATGTCTACCTTTGAATCATCCCAATAATGCGATCTCGCTGGATAACCCACTATTCGATCGGGAAACGAGCGCCAAACCATAAAAGCAAAATCAATTTCATCAGTATTGAGAGTGGCATCTTCATCTAGCGATAATATGGCACTGGTTTTGATTAGTGGATGCGGATAAAAACGCTGGGATATACCATCCACAGAAACTATATTTATTGACGCTTTGATCCCTTGCCAACGTGGTCTTCTCGGAAGCGGAATGTCCGAATTCCACATTAGAATTATCTGATAGAGAAAATGCACCGTTTTAAATATTAGAATAATTGTTTAAAATAAAATTTAAACAATTGATATATCCATTCGATACTTACCTTATCTAAATATTTACTTTTTGCGAGACTTTTAAGCAGACGATATAGAACAGCAGTAGATCCCAATTGAGAATAAATGATGGCAGTGAAAGTGTTACCAGGATTGCTGTTCGAGAATGGAAGTTCTTGTTGACTATCTGCAAATTGCGGTAATATGGCTAGGGCTCCAGGACTAGTGTTCCAAATAATTCCTTCTCTTGTGCCTTCCCATGGTAAACGTTCACGAATATTCTACAATATGAATATTATGACTTAAAAAGCATAAAACGTATTTAAAATTAAATTTTTACAAAATATCTCGAATACTTTACCTCGAATACTGTAAATATAATCTTTTCTATAGACGAAAAATATCGTTCCCATAAAAATTGTGTCTGCTGTCGTAACTTAAGAATCTGCACATTCGATACAGATCGTACTATATCTGGAATCTATAGAAATATACATATTAATTGATTTTAGTTTTATATATGAATGTTCTAGTAAACGCTCGATTCAAAATATTTACTTGAAGCAACAATCGTTCGTCGGAAAATATAACGGCCTGAGTCCAATCTATGCGTTCGTGAAAAGGCAACGCCCACCCATTACTTAAAATAACTGGTATACAACCTGCTCTTAAAGCTTCTAAAAATCTGAAGCTGCCGAGCCTTCGTCCACGAGGGACAAGACAAAATGTAGAGTTCATTAATAAAATCTCATAATCATATCTAAAAATAAAATAATTCATATTTAATTGAACTAATTTGTTTTACATTTAATGCATATACTTTATCTTTCTCACTCACGTATCATATTCTTGATTATCTTGTTGACAGTGTTCATCTTGTAATTCTCTCCAAGCTTTACCATGACGACAAGTCGTTACAAATACCAAATCTTTACCATTATGCAAATGGTAAAGAGCATTTCTAGTTTCTGAACCAATACCATGTACATATCTTTTACCCTTAAAAGCTGCCACATATTTTTTATTACTAGGAAAATTATTTTCTAACGCTTGACCAGGTTCCCCACCACGTTCAGGATGTTGTTTCCCAAATAGCGGTATGGATACATCAAAATTTGGTCTTAGTCTAAATATGGACATACTTGCTTTAGCAAGCATAGCATACCCTAAATCAAATGCTAGTGATTCCTCTGCATAGTCTGGCCATGTACCAGAATACAAATTGAATATTAAATGATTTCTTCCATTATTCCAATATGGTAAACGTAATAGTTTGGAAGGAAGATTATGCACAAATTCATTTGATAATGGATCTCTATCTAATGTGTCCAAGGCCAGGACAAATATACATGCTCTTGTTGGATCAGACGTATAATATCTTGACTCTGTTATAACATTTAGTATTTTTTGGTATAATGGACTTATAATATCTTCAATTGGATATACATAAACTGTAAATCCTTGCTTGCACTTCGTGAAATCGAAGCATGTTTCCATACGGCACTTCCTTGTACGTTGCGATACAGGTAAGTTTCCATTTGACACTCTCAAATCTTTGTCATAGAATTCTTCGTTCAGACTTAAATACGAAGGCAATCGCTCGTAAGGCAACTGAGACCTGCCTGTCCATTTTTCACTTTTTAAGCGATAACCGCCAAAATAACAATAACCAAGAAACGCACATGTCACAAATAATAGTAAATAACGTTTCTTGGCTTGCATGTTTAATGCAATCAAGTTATATGATCATACGTATAAGCTCCAAGCATTATTCGTTACATGTAATATCCTTGGAATTGATTGTAAGTAGATCACAACATATTGCTTATATCTACAATATTATTTTCATATGTTTAAACAATTATACTGAAACGAATAAACTTCCATTTCCAAAGCTCTCTGTAAAAAATATAAAAAACCATTTCTCATATTAATCCAGTCATAACTTCCATAAGAATATATTCAAAAGAATATAATTTAATTTTACAATAGTATACAAAAACAGATCATATAAACAACGTTATATGATTTTTAATATAAGAACCTGCAAAAGAAGAAACTATTTAAAAGCACAACGACAAAACTAGACAGATTTTATGCACATAGCGATACATAGTCTTTAATATATTGCGTAAAATGTAGGAAAATGTAAAATTTATCGTTACCTTACTGCTTATGCAAAAAAGAGAATCCTCCAGATGGATTAAAAGAAAGAACATCTCGATGGCTTGAACTATCGCGGAACTCATGTCAATATGTGAATAGTGACTTGCGACAATGACTTTGACTTCACATTTACATATTACATAGTAATTTACAAAATGTCGAAGATAATGATAGTATGTAAACGGTTGATTAGCGTTTTCTAATAGCCGTTAACCTATAATACCGGAACATTCTGAAGGTCACACTCAATTTATTACACTCGATTTAGCTGACGTAGATTGCAAAAAAAATATTGAAGAGCTACCATAATTTTTATTTGTTCAAATTATAATGTATTGTAAATCTCGTAGAACGATATTTTAAAGGAATATTTATAGGTTAGTCATGAAGCAAAGAAAATCGAAAGGACTCGCCGGCTATTTTGCGTTTCTTAGCATTTTCGTATTGGATAGACACAAACGCGTAATATCGACTTGAAAACGCCTCCAGTTACAAAAGATCATTGCACGCGATGCATTAAATAATAAATCGCTTTGAAAGCAACGCGAATACAATGACGTTTAGACAATCAGACTAGTAAATCGCCTAATCGGTTATACTTAGCAAGATGTGTTACCATAAGAGCAGTTTTACAACTCCCCGCGCGTTTCTCCTGCCATCTATAGAAAGCACTTAGCATTTAATAAATGTTTAATCTAATTTACCGATGGATCATGATTTAAAGAAACGATTGAATACATTGGTGTAATTCATTGATTTTACATGTAAATTTCTTGTTATTCAAAATCTCAAAACAACAAAAAAAAAAGATTAGTATTTTCTAACAAAAACCATAAACACGCAATACAGAATAAATCACAATAATGAGATTGAAACTTAATAGAAGTTATACCACAGGAACAATAAAACAAGGATCAATAAAAGTAGAAAGTATAAAATTATTTCTAAAAATCCAACTCGAGAGAGACATAGTAAATTCTTTAATTTATTTTACACTATAAAGAATAAATTCATTATGACCTTATATCGCTATCAATAATGTATAGCTTAGCATGTTTCAAATCGATGTCAAATCGTGATAAAGGGACTTAGATTGATCGGAATTACACTGAAACCGTAGTATCATTGATCGAACTTGAATATGTGAACGCCGCACAAGTTCGGAATGTGAATTTAAACTCGAACGCGTTTTTTGACGGGTCCCTGAAAATAAAAACTTACTTGATAGATAAATAATAGAATATGCTTGTGAATACGATCAAAAAAATATGGCGTACGTTGGTCGAAGTATTCAACGAATTCTCGATCGAATCTACAATACATGGAATGAAACATACAACTCGTGCTAAGTCAATTAGTATAAGGTAATTGTTTAATTCTTATCTTTTCTTTTTTCTTTTTTTATTTTTCTATTTACATTGTCTAATTCATACAATCATTATTGTAGGATATTATGGGTCATTATCATAACATTCTCTTTCTTGATTGCCGCAAAGTTAGCAATGTTGTTCTACAATCGTCATCAATTAGCAAACAGGAGTACTCTAATAATCAGTTCTCAATTTCCAACTAAAATAATCCCATTACCAGCCGTTACTCTTTGCCATGGAAATATTGCCGCAATACAGAAAGTGCTTTCTTACTTGACATCGCAAGAGCGAATGTATAATTCTATACTTTCTATTCTCGGTTAAAAATAAGACGATTTAATATCTTAACTTTACCTTCATGTTCTCAGATATATTCCACGAGGTTTAACGCGAAAAGATTTTGAACATACTGTAAAATACTTACGCGAAGCAATTTATCCGAAGAATCATTATCCAGAAGAATTAGATAAATTACAACAAATCCTTACGGCAAATCGATTATCGTTACCTGAATTATTCGAGAATATTAGCCCCAACTGCACAGATTTTGTAATAATGTGTCGACTGAATGGAAAAATTATACCGTGCGATAAGATGTTAAACCGTGTAATCACACGTTACGGAGTATGTTGCGCCTTCAATTACGAAGATCCACACGACAATTTAAGAAGGTAACATATTAATCGTAGAATTATATTTAATGAGAAAAACATTCGCTTCACGATCGAATAGTATTACTGAGAGTAAATGTAAAGGAAGAGTTACGAAATATTTACCTTGACCGTAAGACTTTTGCGATCGATCAACAAACTCACTTATCCACCTTGAGAAAGTTTTTTCTTCTTTTTCTTTGAAATGTGAAGTTTGCTCTTTCTTATATGCTACGTCACGTTATCGCTACTCATAGAATATGAATAGATAGATGATTCTTATAAATAGGAAAAGCATGATAATGAAGATGCTCTTGGATTAATAATTATGATTGTAACTCGCCTAAATCAACTATCTTAGAATCCTCTAAGATTCATTTAATTTGTACAGGTCGAAGGAAGAATCTATATCCAACTATAGCGTTAATTTTGGATCTCGTTATATTGTGTCTTTTCTCATGAGACCTTTACCTTCGCATGATCATATGTCGTCTATAATATACGGAGACGGAATAAAAGTATTAATACACGAAAAATATACGTACCCAGGACCCACCGCTTTTGAATTTATTGCTGGTTCTGGCCAAGAAACGATAGCTAAACTGTATCCTACTGCTTTGATTAGCAGCTCTGAAATTTTAAGTTTACCGACCACTGTTAGAGGATGTTACATGACTTGGCCATTCCAAAAGAAATATCGCTATCGCGCAGATAATTGTTACATTCATTGCCGTGAAACTATAATACGCAAACTTTGCGGTTGCATATCTTTTTCAGCATCGGTCATGAAAACTGACGTAGGAATTTGTAATTTGACGCATATTTCTTGTCTCGCACGTATCACGTTACAAACATATACCTTGACGTTGCAAGATCCAGAATGTGACTGCCTTCCTGATTGCGAAAGTACATCGTACAAAGTCGCAGTTACTACATTGCCTATGTCTGCTATCCAATACTCTCCAGGAAAATTTTAGTAAGTAAATATGTAAAAATAATGATCGTCCGATAGCTATTAATATTCATTATTAGTTTTTAAACATCTTTGAAATTGTAAATTTTTCTTAAACTAACAGTGAAGCTGCTGCACGAATTTCAAATGCAACTATACTTCATGTTACGTTTGCCAGACATTCGGCGATATTGCAACGAAGAGAATTGGTACTTTCATGGATTAATCTTATTTGTACGTATTCTATATTAAAGTTAATTCATTACTCAATCATAAAATAATTAATCTCAAACTAATTCATTTGCAGCTTCCCTAGGTGGTGTTTTTAGCTTATTTTTGGGATGTAGTTTCATTTCGCTTGTCGAAATGTTATATTTCTTTTGTATCTACTTTTTGTTTAAATTAAAAATAAATAAGAGATCAAACTCAAATAGTACTATGAACAAATATTATAACTGATCTTATAAAAAAATACAAACATAATTTTGTAAATTATTTCTTCATAATTGAAATATATGAAACAATATTAATATCATTTACGACTATTTTTAATAATATTTTTATAAGAATGCTAACATACACCAAAAATATTATACACAGTTTATCTAAGCATCAATACTATTTGGTACTTTTTAATGTGATGAAAAACTGTTCTCTATCTCCACTATAGAAGTTTTATTTTTTAAACTACCTTTGGTTTCAGCATTATCAACTCTAGCATGTGATTTATTCTTATGTTTCATTCGAGTATCACACTTCAGTATTAATCTATTTCCATGTAAGCATGGCCATTCACGTTTTTTCAATAAGTATTCTGCTGCAAGTTCCATACTTTCCATTCTAACTATTGCACTCCTGAAACATAATTATAAATATTTTTTCATAATTAAAATGATAAAAAAAAAAACAAAAGTACATAAATTGAAACAAATATATTTTTCTGATTGATATTACCTTAAAGTATTTGTATATGGTTTCAAGAGAGTAACAGATACACATCCTGGTAAAATGTCTTTTATTTCATCAGCCTTTGTGAAACATTTAAGATTCCCAACAAATATTCTATTTTATAATTAAACAGAGATATTAAGTCAAATGAATAATATTTATATCATGCCGAATAGGATAGATTTGAAAAGGAAATCTATAGAAGTACTTACGATTGTGTAAACTTTACATCTGGTTCCACATCAGGTATTTTAACCTTTTTTCCTTTCCTTCTAAATTGTTTGCCACTTAACGTATTTAAATAAGCTCTTCGAATTACAATAGGTTTTCCATATACAATTTTACCTTTAAGAGCTCTTTTATTTTGTAGTGCTTCTTCAACGGTAGAAAACTCTACATGAAAATTTTTACTAGGTTGTCGTGGTAATTTGACAGTAAAATCACCGGTAAACAAATCTACTACTTCTTCTATGTTTTTTATTTTACATGTATAACGAACATGAAGCGTTCTTTCCATTCGCTCCTTTAATTTCTGCTTCCACGGTTCTTGACACATTTCTTCAGAAAATATACAAATGAATCTATAAGATTTTAATAGAAAAATATAGTATAGTACACTCACTCATAAATCGCAACCACTTACTTTGTGTTTATAGAAAATAGTATATTCTTTTATATATTGTATACAAGTTTATACGCATAGAATGAAGATAGTATTTTTACTATTTTGTTTTCAGACAATTATTATTTTTTATATCATTTCTAAAATATTATAGGTTATGAACACGTGGTTATATCTCACACCTAACAGCTATACTATCGATTAATTCGACAGTTATATTAGCTACATTTGATTGGTTAAAAATTTATCCAATCAAATTATTTGATATAAATGAATTAGGAGTTATGTATATGTATATATATACTCCCATATATATAAATAAATAAATAAATAAATAAATAAATAAATCTATAATATATATACACATACCTACACATAAATATATATACACACCACAAACTGTAAAATTATATATAAATTGAAAAATATAAATTATATATTATATATAAATTATATATTATATATTATATATAAATTATATATAAAAAAAAAAATAAAAATATAGATTTGTGTTAATTGATAATAATTATAAATGAATGAGAAAAATCATAAACTTTATGCCTATTTATAATTAATGCCTTATTTATAAATAAAACAAGTAAAATTAAATTTTAACTTGAATTTAATATTAAAAATTGATTTTTATTTCTTCTTTCGATACTATTTTTCTAATTATATCGCTCATATTTTCATAACGGATAGTAAAAAATCTATTTTTTAGACATTTAAAGACATCATTTTTAACAAATGCTGAATGAAATAACAAATTGTGAACACATCTGCTTTGTATAGTGTAATTATATGGTAATGAATATGATAATTGATAGATAATGTTGTAACGAATTAAAATTCAATGTCAAGAAATATTTCAAATAATTTGGCTTAACATAATCTCTTGTGAAAAATTTTCATATGTATAGGAAATGTAAATGATCCAAGGTCCATTTAAATTCGGCCATTGTTCACAAATAGTTTGAAATAGATCAAAGTTTAGCCTAATAATAAATTTTTATATTTCATGTTGCGTATAATAATTGATAATAAGAATATATAAGACTTAAAACATTAATTTTACTTCAACTAATAATTATTTTTAATTTAATCAGAGAATTTTCAAGCATTACTCACACTTAAATGCAATTATAAATAACTCTAATTATCTTATTATGCATTGTATATATATACATAGTACATATGCAAAGATATTATATGACTTACGATCTTAAAATAAAATTAACTCAATGGAAGTACTGTACCTAATAACAAAAAGAAAACAAAATATGGAAGCTTTATTTTGGAGAATATAATTTAACAATAAAAATATTAAAAATATCTCTTCTCAAAATTATTATTTAAGTGGCTGTTTGAGATCGAAGATGTTATAGTGAACTGATAATACAGCTTTTAATTCTCTTCTTTGTGAAGTTATATTCTGTACACTAATAATAAATAATCCTAGATCTAAGCTACTCGTAATTTTTGGTTCTACAATTTATTTTTTTTAAGAATACCTATAAAAGCCACTTCTGTATTATTTTTTTTATAAATTTTAGTTGGCTTAGAATAAAGAATAAGGAAAGCTGATAAATTATTGATATCTACTACAGATTAACAACATAATATTAAAACAAATGCATTATTCAATACAATTGTTGTTCTGAAATTAAACTAAAATTTTAAACTTTGAGTAGCTACAATATGTTAAAGAATTGATATTCCAATGTATAAAGTATTCTACATTTTAATTAGTTAAAAATAAATATACCTTAGAGAGAATGCTCTTTTAATTAACTAATCATATTTCCTTTAAAAATAAAAAAATTGTATCTACTTTTTCCTTTTACCAGAGGTAATAGGTAAATTAATACTAATCAGTTTGATTATTGATTAAATAATAAGGTAATCTGACCAATTCTTAAAATGTAAGAATGTGCTCAATGTAATTTATTACGGCTTCAAGACTGTGTTAAGGAATTTTTTCACATCGCGCATTTCCTGGAAAAATAGTAGTAACATTACATATTTATAATGACGTTCTCTATAAAAAAACAAATTTTAGGAGTTAGAAATTTGTAAGAATATAACAAAATAAATAATTTCAAAAAAAGAAAATAATTAGATCTGCAAAATAAATATGGTATTTTATTATAATAAAAATTGCTTTTACTACTTACCTCTTCAGAGGATGTATGCATCATTCCCCTGTATGTTTTAAATTCTGTCTGTGACATAAACTGTTTAAGAAGAAATGCAGTCATTTGACCCCATTTATATGGCACTATAGGATCGCAATCTCCATGACATTGCAATAGCGGTGTATTTTTATTTCCTAATGCTTCCTAATAATGAAATAAAATAGTATTATTAATTATAGCAATAATAGTAAAAATAAATTAGAGAATTAGCAATATTATTAAGATTTGAAATAAACTTACTGCAGGAAACTTTTGATGTAAAGGAAGCCAAGATGACAAAGCTATTATACCAGCTAATGGTTCTGGATATGTAAGCGCACTATATATAGCCAAAGCTCCACCTTGACTAAATCCTCCCAAGACAATATTTTTGGTCGATATACCTGCAGCAACTTCCTGCGCAATTAGACTACGAACATATTCTGCAGCTTTACGTATACCCTCTTCATCTTCTGGACCAGTAGGATCCAGAGATCGTAAATCAAACCTGTCAATTTAATGTTACTTAACTAAATTAAATTAAATTATTATATATATTATAAACATTCTATAATATTTATTGAATTAACTTACCAAGATGGCATTCGAAAGCCTGCATTAAGAGTCACTGGCATTGTTGGTCTAAAAAATAATAGAGAAATTTTTAATTTTCTTTTTAATAATTTTGATATTACCAAAATATTGTTACAATATTGTAACATACGCAGTTGGACAAATAACTTTGACATGAGATGGTCTAACTGCTGCCATAGGATTGGCCCAACCATTTCTATGAAACAAAAATTAATTATTTAATACTTTTATAAAATTTATAAAACTACAAAGAGATAAATTTTAAGTAAATTTTAATAGCTTACCCTGTATCACCTAAACCATGGAAGAATATAAGCTAGAATATCAATATTTGCATTTATTATAAAAAAAATAATACTTTTATAAATATAGTATTGATAAATAATATATTAATTTTACTACAATTGCTACATTATCTCAAAAAAAAAAAAAAAAAAAAAAAAAAAAAAAAAAAAAAAAAAAAAAAAAAAACAGACATGATAGATAAGATTGTATGTAAGATTGTAGAAAAAAAAGTATGGTTGTTAAAAGTATAAGAACTTAAAATGCTATAGGTCACTTTAAGGACAATTGATAATACACTATTTTCTTTTTATTTTCATTGAGTAAAAATATGAATGAAATTATCTAAGTGATGAATACAAATGAAATGTTAAAAACTTGAAATATAAAAGCTATAGATTACTAGACATTTATGAAATATGATATATAAATATATATGATCATGATCGTTTGAAAAATAGTTACGGAGAAAATATAACCAAAAAATAGTATAAAATAAATTTGTAGATACTACATATGAATAATATTTACCGTAGCTGTATGTCTAGTAGCAGCAGAAATTATCACTGGGCTTGACATTTTATTTTCTTCGATTTTCTATGTAGTATATAAAATGTGGGACAAATTATATATTAATTCAATAAAAATCGTAAACAGAGAATACTAAAGCGGACATTAATCCTTCCATCCATCTGCAGAGTTGGTTAATATTCCCCAGATTTGTGAAGTCATCGGTCGAATTCATCTAGAATGCAACATACAACAAAAAGTATGAAAACCATTGACTATGATAAATTATAACTATTATATAATAAAATTGTATCATTTATATTGTAAAATTTTTTGTTATTATTTAACCATTAGTTATTCCATTCACAAGGAATATATAAAGAAACTTAAATTCAAACTTATTGTATATTTAGAAGTTGATCATCGAGACATTTAAAAAATATATCATAAATATATATATGCAATCCTAAAAATGTTTCAAATTTTGAAAAAAATAAAATAATATAACTGTAAAAAAATAAAATAATTGTAAAGTTTAGGTTCTTTGATTCATTATTTCCCATTATTTTCCATTTATGAATTCTTTTTCTTCTTATTATAAATTGCAAGGAGTGTAATAAATTCTTCAATGGAAATATTGCTCATTGATTTTTAATAGTAGATATTATAAAAGATAATTTCTTTGTACGTATATACACATCGTTCAAAAGTTATGCATAGAATAAAAGAATATAAAAAATAATATAACAGAAACAAAAAAAAATAACATTGAGAAATGTATAAATAAAAATCTCAAGTTACATCAATGAAAATCACAGCGTAGATACGAACGGACCAATCAGAAAGGGTCTACTCGGTAATGCAGCGGTTTCTGCAGCCCTAAAGGCGCATATATATTTTCTTAAATGTCTTAGTCTCCATGAGAATCGAACTTAGGTGTGCCTGGAATGCGAGCATTACGAATAACAAAGATGGTGCGTCGATGCTCGAAGCACTCGCTCCATGATCGTTCCTAGCCGAGGAGTCGTGCTGACCAGCCATATTGTTTCACCGCAGTGTTTGTTTTGGTGCAACCTACATTTCATATTGAAAAATTGAGGAAAATCGGTTCGGCGTTAGGTAAAAGAAACGCGCTGAAAGTGGAGAATCATATTTTAGGGCGTTGTACAAGTAACGGTGACCGTGCGGTCTTTTCTATCGTAATCGTCGGCATCCGAAGAGGGGCTAATCCGATATAATCTGGGTGTCAGTCAACGCACACGAGAAACGGCCGAGCGAAAGAAATGGCCTGCGCCACTCTAAAGAGGTCCTTGGAGTTCGACCCGGTGCATAGTCATGGTCGTCCTAGCAAGCGACGGAGATGCGTTCCGATGTGCGTTTCGCCCGGTACATCGGCGCAGAACAATCCGGGATCACAAAATCCCTCGCCCTTTGGCGACGTTACTCACAAATTAACTCCTGGTAATTACTATAGCTTACGGCCATTTTTTTTTACTCACCTGGCCTTATGATTCGAGAAGAAGAAGGGATGGCTATAACATGTTCTCTCTTTATAATTTCAAATTTCCTATACTTCCCTACTATTCTATTGTATGACTACTACCACCACCACTATACCACTACACTACCACTACCACTACACTACCACTACCACTACCACTACCACTACCACTACCACCACTACCACACCATCAGAAAGAGGGGTGGGGGACA